AGATATGACAAAATAATAATTTATCTATTATCATGGGTTCATGAGGGAGTAGGGAGCAGGTAGGGAGAGGAAAAAGGAGGAGCTGATGCCAGGGGTTTAAGTGGAGAGGGCATGTTTTGAGAATGATGAGGGCAATGAATGTACAAATGTGCTTTACACAATTGATATATGTATGGCTTGTGATAAGAGTTGTAAGAACCCCTAACAAAAGATCAGAAAACAACAAGTGTTGGCAAGGTTGTGGGCGCAAAGGAGCCCTGGTGCACTGTTGACGGGAATGCTGGAGAGAGCAACCACCACAGAAAATGACCATGGCTCCTCAGGAAGTGAAACCCAGTCATCCCACTCCTGGGCATAAACTCAAAAGAAGTACTCCAGAGTGTACGTCAGTGTTCTTAGTAGTAGTATTTACAATAGGCAGAATGTGGAAATGACCTAAGTGTACATTAACAAAAGGAGTAAAAATAAAAAAGTGGTATAGGCATACAATGGAATTATCAAGCCATGAAAAAGAATGAAGCTCTAATACGTGCTGTGATACAACTGAACCTTGGAAATATTACTCTAATAGTCCCTAAAGACAATGCTATACACCCTGCTTGGGCGAGTATCCACTAGAATCTTAAACACTTGAAAATAACCATCGAAGGTGCAACTAACTACTGGTCTCTCCCCACGAGAAGGAGAGTGAAGAAAATCAGAGACACATGAAAACAATTAGTCCACTAAGCTAATGAACCTCAAGAACATCAGTGTCCATGAGCCAGCGAGCAGAACTAGATGTTTCCGGGCGGCCACTACAAATGGCTCTGCAGCGGCTCTAGGAGAAGCTCCTGGGGAGCGTGAGAGAATCATAGGAGACAGGCTTGCTGGTGCAAAGAAAGTCCTGGAACTTCCCAGATGATTCCTTCAGGTCTGGAATGGAATTCACCTCCTTGGCTGAATTTTCAGCTTCACAACAGACAGGTCTATAAAGGAACAACACTAGGGAGGGATGTACACTGCAGACTAATCAAACATCCGAGATAAAAAGGGCATTATTTATAAAGGACAAAGTTCAGAAGGATTAGGAAAGAAAGAGGAATGGAAACAGGAAACGAGAGCGTGATGAGGGTAGGTGATGGTATGTTGTGGGGATTATCATCGATCACATAAAACAAGGTGTGCAGGATCTGTTGAGTGGAAAACTGATCCGCTTTGCAAACCTTCACCTAATTCACCATCAAAAGTTAAAAAAAAATTCTTACATGAAATAAGACACACGAAAGAAAAAATATTACATAATGCCATTGATATGAAATGTCTGGAACAGACAAAGGCATAGATACAGAAAGTAGATTAATGGCCACCATGGGCTGGAGGGACACAGGAATGGCAAGTAATTGCTTAATAAGAACAAAGCTTCTGTGGGGGTGGGGGGGAACGGTGTGTAGAAGTTCTGAAAACAAATAGTACCCACAGTTGTACAATGGTGTGAGTGTGATGAATGCCACTGATTGCATACATAAAAATTATTAAAATGGCAAACTGTATGTTGCACACATTTATCACAAAAAGCCAAAAAACAAAGAAGAATATCAATATAGTGAATATGTGTGGCGTGAAAAACATTTAAAGAGAGAGAGAGAGAATATTCCCATTTCCCCCATCCACTGTGACACGCATATTTTCAGTTAGGAGAAGTCTGACATTAACTTTAAGTCATTCTTGATGTGGGTGAATTTAGTTTACATTTGAGATACTGTTCGAGAGTGAGCACCACTTGTTGTACCCCTTCTGTATTACTAACCAAATCAGCACAGTAAAAGACAAGCTCACACGTTAACCTACGTAATATTTCATAAAGTAAACATGTGTGACATGAGAACAGGCCCTCTGTGTGCTCACAGTGCTTTCTTTTTAGAATGGGCAAATGGACATGTGAGTTGAGGGTGCATATAAGTGCTTATTTCTATAATAAGTACCTAATTAACAATATATTTTGTAGGGTCACTGGATTGAAAAGAATTAGTCTAAAGAAGTGATCTGAGCATCCACACTAATGTCTGTAGTCAAGACTTGTTCCAATCATCTCTGAAATTGGGAAGAGACTCCTGAAGGAAAATTTTCCAACATTCTCAACAATTCACTTTAATATTGATTTAACATTTCTCCCTGTTTAAGCAGTCTCATAGTACAGTTTGAGACAAATTTCTCTTGAAATAAACAAAGAGCAATGAGGACTACGTGACCTTCAAATATTGAACTCAAACAACTCTTGTTCCCATATCATAAAATAGAAATGGGTTTCAAGAAAAAACAACAACATAAAAACAAAGATTATTCCATTGCATTTAGACTAAAACTTGATTTCCTGATTTCCAAGGAAATCCATCAAGGGGTATGATATGATATGTCTGATGTAGTTTCAACTAGTTATCGACAACTGAAGAGATCAATGGAATGATAAACTATCTAACATTTCTATATATTCCCACTCAACAGGCAGATTTTTAAAAATACAGTTCCAAGATTTCTGAATCTAAGAGCATTATGTTCTTTAATTTACAAATGATCAGAAAAATTTCTTGCAGATCCTTGATACACCACAATTCACATTTTAGTCAGAAAGGGTATCAGCATACTAATTTAATGTTAACTATTAAATATGCTTATGATTCAGCCTTACAAAAGCTCTTGAGAGAGTACACTAACACCCAGGAGAGAAAGCAAACAGCAGGCTGTGTAAATCTAATGCAAGGATGAAAAGGCAATACTTTGATAACAGACAGCAATTTGTCCGACGATACGTGAATGTCCAACAGTGAATGTCCAACACTGAGTGGAACCTCCTGCTGTGCTGCAGTACTTACCAGACCCTGTTGTTTATGCTTTTTTTCGCCTTATATGTTTCTTGAGGGTAAGGATACATTTTTGTCCCCTTATCACCTAATGGAAGGCTCAGAGCAAAGATGATGTACAATGATGGAACTGTGTGTGACAAGCACCTTCTTTCCTCCTCGTAATAAACATATGAGCTAAGTGCTGTGTTGTTATTCTAATTGGGCAGATGAAGAAAGTAGGGTTCATTAAAATATAAAATCTTGTCCAGGTTTCCGTCTCAGATTTAATAACTAATTTTATAAATCAGTTGACTCAGGTATTATTTGACATTTGTGCCACTAGTTTAACAAAATATTAATGCAAAGGGATACTACTAGACTACTTCTGTCTCATCTGTATAATGTCAAATCAGTAATCTAATATTTTATGAATTTATAATATTTAAGTTTCCATTTTATTTTTTAAAGTATTTATTAATATTTTGGAATATCCCATGATATGAGTAGAAATCTTTCCAATCAAAAAAAGAGGACTCTAATGACATGGAATGTGGTAACATTCATTTTGCTTCAAATCAGAGTCAATAAAAAATGTAATGCAACCTTATACTACTTATTAGCAGTGTGATTTTTAATTCCCAAACACAAATACATATACATTACATATAAAATTAATTATTGGATAATGAGACTTAATAGAAAGGCAATAAACCTAAGTCAGCACTACTATCTCTAAAATGTGTACAAAATGAGATACATCTGTGAAAAAGAAGTACTTTTTTCCATTTATAAAAGATTATTTAAAATGATAAAAAGGAACTGATATCTACTTATTGTCAATGATAACAACTTGTAATTCTCATTTCTTAACAATATAATGAAATCAAATATATAATAGATTGTGTCTTCAATTTTTAAAAGTTGGCTTCTAGTGATTGAAGTAAAACTTCAGATTTTACATACCTTAAAGGTAGAAAGTCCATAAAGTCTCGTGGTATGAACAGTTTCCTGAGAAATATTTGTAATGTTTGTTATAAAGTCCTCAAGGTATTTACAAGCTTGTTCCAAGTGTGTTGTGTTTATGATGATTTGCACTAGCTAGAAAACACAAATACATCTGATCAAATACAGGCTACATGTATAGAAAGTCACCTGAATTTGAAAAACAAGATCACTACTTCCAGCAGTGCACCGTTACTATATAATTACAGCATTACAGGACACAACTGATTATCTGTTTGAAAAGTTTGCTGCCAGATACAAAATCTCAATGCTTTCATTGTTTAAAAAGAAATGAAAAATCTAGCTGCCAATTAATTTAAAATAACTTTTCAAAGCACTTTGTAAAATGTTATGTTTGCCAAGTTAAAAAAAATGAGGATTTTGGTTTTCATGTAAGCCCGGCAATTAAAAAATCTACACACATGCTCTAACATCTCCAGGTACAGGCACCCCCCGTTTTATCATACCTCGCTTTGCTGTGCTTCGGAGATTGGCAGCATGTCTTACAGATTGAAGGTTGGCGACCACCCAGCGGCAAGTCTACAGGCACCATTTTTCTACCAGCATGTGATCTCTGGGGCTCTCTGTGACTCATTTTGGTAATGATCACAATATTTCAATTTTTTCTTAATGTTCTTATAAATTTAATATGAGGGGGTACCCAAAAAGAAACAAATTTTTTCTCCAAAACTATGTATTTAACTTTTTTTTTACGAAACAACCTTATCACCTTCAAAGTACTCTCTATTACACTTAATATATTTGTTAAATTCCATTGCTGGAAACCTCCAAACTCATCTGCTTGGATGCCTGACAGCACCTCCCTCGTTTATTTCTTCACCTCTTCTATGCATCAAATCGCTATCTTTTCCTGTCCCTCTTCACTTGTGAAAACAAAAAGAAGTCACACTGAACGAGGCCAGGTGACTCAGGTGATGGGACAAAAGAGGCATGCTGTTTTTTGCCAAAAAAACAAAACAAACCTGCTCACTGAGATTGTTGTGGTGGCAAAACCAGTCCCATCAGCCACAAATCAGGCTTTTTGTGGTCACACACTGTTATGCAATCTTTTCAGAACCTCTAAACAGAAAGTGTGATTAAGAGTCTGACCTGGTGGAAAAAACTCCAAATGCACTATCCCCCTCACATAAAAAACAACAACAACAAATAAGCATCATCTTGATCTTTGATTTCACTTAACGAGTTTTTGGGGGGTGAGGTGACAATGGCATCTTCTACTGGCTTGATTAATGTTTACTTTCAAGGTCATAAGAATAGTACCATGTCTTGTCCCCAGTATTGACCTTAGGGGGGAAAAAAAGTCTGGGTCGCTTCAAAGCTGTTCTTTCAAAGTGCAGCATGTTTCCAATGGGTGCTCTTTTTCCTGTCAGTCATAACCCAAGGCATACATTTCGCATCAATCCTCTCATTCCCAAATCTTCCATTACAATTTTTTGAACCCGAGCTCCAAGATAGTTCAAATAACTTCATCTCTTCAATGGTTGTTGTAGGTCTTTCTGAGCACAAATGCTTGAATTTTGTCATCATTTTCATCCATTCATAAAGTTGATGGACATCAAAACGAGGTTTGTCATCAATTGACACTCATACACTTGAGTTTTCCCCATAGCACTGTCCTTATAAACTGTGTTCAACATCACAGCAGCATTTTTCCTGAGCACGAAGCAAAATTTCATAGCCCCACATGGATTCTCTTAAATTAGCCATCACAAAAAACGAGGTTCCAGTGAAACTGCTTTAATGAAAATATTCACTGTAACCACAGAGAACCTTCCCAGGTGACGCCACTGGGTGCACTAACTCAAAACCAGTTGCTTGATGCTCGCCTATAGGGAAAAATGTGTACTACGGAAGCTCCACCCAGCAGAGCATTTTTCCGTTTTTTGAGGGGGGTACCCTCTCATAGACCACCACTATACTATTTCTGAGGTATGCCTGTATATACTGTTCCCATGTAAACACTTTTATTTCACAGTTACTGAATTTACAAATGTTTTATTTTAAAACATTCACGTATATTTATAAATATAAAATACAAAACTGGCTTACAGGATGGTGCTCAGCAATGATACCCAGAAATAATTTAATTTATAATAGTTGCTTTGTACATTGAAATATTTGGTTCTAAGTATTTTTTTAACCTACCTCTGTCAAACCTATGTGAGGTTTCCTAATAAGGTTCAGTAAACAGCTACTCAAAGTTCTGGTCAGCAGCAGATTTGTTGATTTTCTAAGCATATCATCTATTTCTGTTGAACTAAAAACAAAGGTTGGTATCACTAAGTTTTCTGCAATGGAACAATTTAGTTAGCATACTAAATAATAATCCAACAAAACTTACTTTTAAAAATTGCTTCATTTCTTTTTAATCTTTACATAAATTAAAAGTCAAAATCACTGCTATTGAGTCAATTCTGACTCATAGCAACCCTACAGAACAGAACAGAACTGCCCTGTGGCTTTCCAAGGTTGCTAGCCTAATTTACATTTAAAGGGAAAGATAGGAGAGGCAAATGTACATCTAGGAATGCACCTTCAATATATAATCCTTAAATACAATTTTATGCCATTTGAACCAAGTTGAAAGAATGTGGGAAACAGAAAGGGGAAGAGAGTGTATGCGGACAAACTCTCAACTTTCCTACGTTAAGGAGTCTGGGAGGCCAAGGCTCCCCATGGAGGAAACCTTCAAGCTCGTGGGTTGGAGATGTGTCACACTCATATTCTCCTAAGCAAAAGTTATTCCCCATGATGTCCAACCATAATAATGCCAAATTTAAGGTGCTGTTTGCAAACACATGGTCACTGACTATGCACATGGAGGTCAACTGCCTGAAGGTTACTGCCTGAAGGTTATCTGCCATCAAAAGCTTTCAGACCCTATTGTCTGTCCCACCCTAAGTTGGGCCCACTCCCTTCTGATAAGGATCATAGATTGTTCCCCTGAAGAAGAGCTCAAAGACACTTAGGTCAAGCCAACTCAGATGACCAAGGATAGCTGCCATCTTGGCTTTAGAGTCTGCCCATCTTGTTACATTTGCCTTCCTGTCACGTGTCCCTAGTGCCTCCCTTTCTTATTGCGTGTATACCCCTAGTTCGTGCCCCCTCCTGTCCTGTTACGTGTATGCCTATTGTACAACCCCTTAGGTGTGTGCTTACCGTAGCCTGCGTGCCCCAGATTAAATAAACTAGCCAGGTTACATTATTCGCTCTCTCTGCTTGGACCTGGCTCCTGAAGTCATGACTGAGGAGGTGAGCCCTTGCATACTTTATCTTGTCTAAGGTCACTTTAACTTACTCCTCAATTACACAACCGCCTCTTAAACACATTTGGTTGTGGGGAAGCTGGTTCCCTATAGAAGATAACAGTTGAGAGATTTTTTGTAATGCTTCTTCCTTTGATTGTATATATTTACCTCAAAATAATAGAAGAAAGCATCTATCTTGCTCACTTCATCAGCAACAGAGAATCAAATATTTTCAAAGATGACCAACTGGAGCCTCTACTTGAGAGTATACAAACAAGTCTATCCAAATGTAAGTCAAAATTTCTCTATCCCTTAACTTCTTCATCTAATAGTTCACAAATATACTCACTCCTCACTTAGCAGCATGGTAAAGTTCCCAAGCCCAGGCTATTGTGGAAAATTGATCTTATGCAAAAATGAAGAATGACCACAGCAGATCACAAAATGGAAAATGACCACATATCATTACATAACTGCTAAAACACAATATTCCATAACTGCAGGATCATAGCCCTGCTAAGCTTACCCAGAACCTTATCCATCACAGCCAGCTTTGCTCTTGCCTGGCACCTCAGTGCTTGTTACTACTAGATGTACATCACTAATGCACAAAATAGTCTGATGGTTTAAAAAGCTTCACTTAAAAAAAAATCAAGTGACTTACCCCAAATCCTGCTATAGTTAGTAAGTGTCAGCATGAAGACTCAAACTAGGGTATGTCAGAGCCAGAAGCTTATGACCTTGACCTCTACATTTCTATGTCTTAGATCAAAACTTCAGAATGTCAAATGAAAAATGATGTAGGCATCAATTATGGGTGGCCCTCAGACCATTTGAGTTCCAAGAGCTATCAACTACTGAAACCTACCATTGTAATATCACTTGTTTTGTGCTATTTCTCTTCAATTAGCATTCATTTGTATTAATTGTTTTTTTCAAATGCTAGATTACATGCGTGTGTCATGTTGTTCACTAGGCAGAATACAATATCTCTAGTTAGTTTAATGACTGAGGTCAAAAGCTGGTTGTCTTTAAAATAGCTTTTTAGAGACTCTGGTACCAAAGGCTGGTGGTAGAATGTGATGAAGCTCAAGGAAGTGGTTCTTAAGCTTGAGCATGTATCACAATCATCTGAAGAGTTTGGTAAAACTGTGGGCCCCACCTCTCAGAGTTTCTAATTCAGTAGTTCGGCGGCTGCATTTCTGATCACATCCTGCATGGTGTGACGGCTGCTGATACAATGAGGACCTCTGGTTTATGGAAACCACAAATCACAACACATACTGTGCTTTACGTATGTGTATGTTAGGTATTTCCTTCCATGCCCCATTCATGTTATCCAAAATCAGATACTCTATTTACCCTGGCGGGACGCACATTTCATTTTCCATTTATCTGCACATTGTTTAAATAAAAAAAAGATGTGTAGTAACTTGCAATAAGAAACACAGATACAATAAAGTAAAATATAACCATGGTGGTTCTGTTTCTGCTTGAAAAAGAATTCTCAGGCTTCATGCCTTTTTTTTTTACTTAAAATTCAGAACAGTTTCTCATGTTGCTCACATTGCTCCACTTGGAAGAATGGATTCCTTAGAGGCAGTCACCATGAAACTTAGCATCACCACTCACTTCCAGAGAGTTCTCCTAATCAGAAATGTTTCCTCTGACTATGCTGCAGCATCCATCGAGGGAGCCTGAACAAAGTGTGGTATAAAGATTAAGGTTCCACCAACATTACTGTTCTCTTCTTCTATGCTAGACACTGTAGCAAGCACTTTTATGGACATGGGACCTACTCTTTCATCCCCGCTCTCATGCTAACTCTAACTACGCTATTCTGGACAAATGATGCAGCCTCGCTGGGCCTCAGTTTCCTTATCAGCAAACTAGGAATACTATCCCATTCCCTTAAAGAGCACCGATGACACTGTCAATAAACCCTGGACTGCTAACCACAAGCTTGGTGGTTCAAACCTACCAACTTCTCCCCAGGAGAATGTTGCGACTCTCCACTCTCTTGAAGATTGACAGCCTCAAAAACCCTACATTGGGTTGATGTGCGTCAGAATCAACTTGATGGCAGCGTGTTTGCTTTTCAGTTCGGTTATACGTTCTCTGTCTTCAGAAATGTGGATGTTACTTTATCACACAAGGTTTGCCAATGGAATCAAGTTGCCTATAGCTGCCAAAACTACGCTCCATTACTACAGAGGATACCAATTTGCTACAGCTATCTTTCACTAGTTTGCTGATTTTTTTATCAATCTTCACACTTCAGATTTATCTGAGCGAAGACCAAGTAAAACTATTGAGAATATCAGATTTTCAACAAGTCAATGACATCCAGAAGAAAAGAGAATTGCCCCTAATAAAATGTTTTTAAAAAGAATGAGGACCTGATGCCAGGGGCTTAAGTGGAGAGCAAATTTTTTGAGAATGATGAGGGCAATGAATGTACAAATGTGCTTTACACAATTGATGTATGTATGGATTATGATAAGAGTTGTATGAGCCCCTAATAAAATGATTAAAAAAAAAAAGAAAAGAGAATTGGTAAAACAGCTAACTTTATTTAGATCCTAAAACAAACTTACAAAGTACCAGAAAGCATTTTGGGGACAATTTGAGAAACAGAAAATACCAGTAATGACAAGGGAATTGATCTCACAGAATGAACTGGGCTGCTAACTGCACGGTCAGCGGTTTGAGACCACCAGCCGCTTCGCAGGTGCAGCTCTACTCCCGTAAGGAGTTACAGACTCTCACTCACAGGGCAACTGGAGCCTGTCCTGTACAGTCGCTGTGAGTCAACACCAACTTGATGGCAGTGAGTTTTGCTTTGTTTTCCTTCTGCTGTGTTAAGTGCGTTTATGAAATAAAATGTCTCTACTGATTTTAGAAACACTTAAGTGTTTAGAGATAAAATGTCATTATAGAATTTGTTTTTAAAATACTTCAGTAAAAATAAAGTAAATGATCATATTTACAGCAACTTACCTTCAATTTCACTAAAATATACACATTTTCCTAGTGAGGGCATCATCTATCAAAGAATCATGGCATAAAAAGAGCATTCATGTTTAATAAATTGAATTACATTTCTTATTAGTAAACTTACCTCCGGTGTAGTGACTCTGAAAATTTAAGGCTGGCATAAATAAATTCTTTAACTTGAATGTAAATATGAGGCACTGACTGAGACATGGGGAATTTCTTTGGGAAAGATTGCTGTATAAGAAAAAAAAAGGTTTTTTAAAATTTTAGGAAATAATGTTTTAATTACATAATAATGTAGAGAAAACCAACTGCATCACAAAGTGTACTTTGTAAAAAAAAAGTGTACTTTGTTCCATTTTGTACGTTGTTTGGGAGATTTTAAAGAAAACAAGTATTTTGGGAGGAAATACTATGGCAATTTACCCATTTCTTAAATCACAGTGTCAGGTTTCCAACAAGCAGAGAAAGCATCTCCCTGCCCATGCCTCTGTGTGTTTTGATGACAGTTCTGTCACTAGGGTTATCTTCCCCATTCGCCACACCTAGAGCCCTGCCGGTGCAGTGGTTACACGTTAGGCTGCAATCACATTGTCACCAGTTCGAAACCACTAAGAGCTCCTCAGGAGAAAGACTGGGCTTTCTATTCCCATAAACAGCTACAGTTTGGGAAACCCACGGGGGTCACCGTAAGTTTGTACTGACTTGATGACAGTGAGAGAGATTCTCCACATAGTAGCCAGAGAAATCTTCTGAAAGCACAAATGTGATGATGTTTTTACTGCTCAAAACGCTTTGCTGACTTCTAATAATCCTCAGGAAATAGGCTGAACTCACTGACCCTATACCAGGTACCACAGTCTGGTCCTTTTTCTATCTCCAGCGTCATCTAGTCACCTCCACCTACTGCAGATGCACAGTCTTTGTGCATGTGGCCTCCATCGGAAGCACTGCCGACGTCTGTGAATTGTCGTTCTCTTCTCTCACTCACTGGACTCTAAGCTTCTTCTCAGTAGAAACTGAAAATCTAGCACAGAGCGCAGTGGCTTGTATGTGGCGGGGGATGAGAGGTATGGGAATAAACACCTGTATACTGAAAAGGAGCCCTGATAGTGTACTGGAGAAGCACTCGGCAGCTAACGGCAAGGTTGGCAGTTTGAACCCACCAGCCACGCTGTGGGAGACAAGACCCAGTGATCTCCTGGAAAGGGTCCAGTCCAGGAAATCCTAGGCGGCAGTCCTCCTTGGTCACATACGTCACTGACGACTCGACAAGGCTGCCCACGCAACAGAAGCAGGACACTTCCAAGCAGCAGCAATGACAACATAGGTTAGAGTCCTATCCCTCCAGGCTGGTTTCCAACTTCAGAGACTCATTTAAGTGAAGAGTCAATGTCCTTTAAAAACAGCTCATAATAATGTAAATGCCTACTCCCCTCCAATTTCCTTTGTGTAGAGTGAACCCAGTACTATCTGAGGCACTTCAGTTTTGAGAATTTATTTCAATGACATTAAAAGACAGAATATGAATATTTTATTTTAGCCATATGGCTTTAATCAAACTAGCATAGATATTTGCAAAAAAGACAGGCTTCTGCATAAATGTTCAGTCTTGGTCACTTCTTTACTCTGAAATAATAAGTCATAATTTACTCTGAAATAATAAGTTACATGAGAGGCTGTTTTATGTGTTCTATAGCTTAATTAAAAATTATACTTAATTTTTTAAACTGAAAATACATAAAACTAAGAGGAGGTTACTAAATAATTTTGGGGATTTACTTTTAAATGATCACATTTAAATTTTCCATGTATTTTTTACCTTATTAAGGAGCCCTGGTGGTGCAGTGGTTACACATTGGGCTGCAATCCACAAAGTCTGCAGTTTGATACCACTAACCACTCTATGTGAGAAAGGGCTTTCTACTCTCATAAAGAGTTACAGTCTCAGAAACTCACGGGGGCAGTTCTACTCTGTCCTATAGGGTCAAGAGGAGTCAGCATTAACTCAGTGAGAATTTTATCTTATTAACGGTCATTAATTTTAATGCTGAGTATTATGTGGGCAAATGAATAAAATGCTTAATGAACTTAATTCTACGAAGTACTGCATATTTTGGGTTTCCAGCAAGGTTAAACTTCTTTATAATTGTACAAACAGGACAGTTTAATGTAATTGGAAAGAACATTAGAAATAATTCTGTTCAACTTCCTCAGTGACAGAGGAGATCTGAAAGTCCAAATAGAGAACATTGTGGTAATTAAAAAAAAGACATCTACTGGGCTTTGGTGTGTACTGAAACTCAACTACCAGGCAATAGAATGTTTGCTATAATTGATACGCTATAATTCATAAGTGTGCTATATTAAAAACATTATGCATTTAGTTACATGGTTCTATATTCAGTATCTGTTACACATAATATGCTTAGTTTGTTTAAAAATACAAAACCAAAATTACAGTCACAAGTCACAGTCTTATTCATTCTGAAGAGATAATAATGTAGAAAAGGACTAAATTATTAAAAGTTGGAAAAAGAATAAAGAAATATAGGGATTAAAACAAGAATAAAGAAGAAAACATTATGGTAACAGGAAATAAACATGTCCTTTTTTCCATGAAATGAGTCCACATATACACCAAAGAGACATGACTGTATGTGCCTGTGTGTGTGCACCCATATGTCATGTGCATTTCTGTGTGCATATATATTCTTCATGCCTGTCTACTTCCTTCTTCTGTCACGTTTGTTGTTCAGACATTTCCAGTCCAAAAACACATACTTCCTACCTCAGGAAGAAATCTGTAGGGGCTACGCACTTCATAAACCTCTTCTTCAACCAACATAAACCCTTTCTAGAAATGTACTTTTAGACTGAAGCTGTCAAAAAAAAATCTTCCAGAGTGTTAGAGACTTATCTTTGTTAGACCACACTTTTTTTTCTTGGAACTCACCCAATATTAGTAGCACCTGCCCTGGGAATCCACCCAATATTCAGGACACTGCTGCTAGCATCACCCAGAAAGCCCCTTCTTAATTTCACCAAAATAGAAAGAATGCTTATAAAGATGGTGACACGGTCTTTAAATACTAACAAAACACGCTCAGAGGCTTCAAGTCATAACCACCAAAAAGATGGCCAGGGAAAAAGAAGGCACTCTCAGAATGCTATGTGGTAATAAATATTAAAAATATATTTTCACGGAAGTTCTTGAATTAAAAAATAGTTTGTACCTTTTCAAGATCTGGATCCTGAAAGGGAAATTTACTGATGATTATTTTATATTCTTCTTCATTAGCAACAGGGATGGGGCTATAGTTATCTTCTTCAAAAATATCCCTGTTAAGAAAGAAGGGAGAATTAGTAAGCTTAACCAATGGAAAAATGTATCATTGAAGTGTTATGGAATTTTTCTTTTAAAAAGCTATTACAAAAAGTGTTTTGCATTTATTAACAAGAGGTTCAAATAAGAAAACACTGGTTAATCATACAGCATTATAAAATTCAACACCAAATTGCTCCTTGCAATTCATGTGCAATCTCTTCCTTTGTTTCCGAGTCTAGAACAATTCTCAGGATGATACAGTCGAAAAAAAATTACCTATAAAATCAAAACTAGTCATGAGATTAAGTCTATTCCAACCATCCTTCTTGAGAAGAGACAATTCTTAAGTTGTGTGTCTTTTTTCTTCAGATGATACTCCCCTCAGAGATCAAGGCAAGGTCTCTATTGGCTTAAGCACTCTTAGTGTTCTCATTAGAAAAGAACCTTTTACAGTTAGGAAGGCCGAGACATTTCCTAATCACAAAATAGCTCTGTGCTTTCCGACATGGGCCTGATGCAAGGGCTGTGTCTTTGTTCGATTCTATTGAGTTTGTCCCAATGCCTAGCAACCCCAGGTACACAGAACCAAACACTGCCAGCCGTGTATTCACTGTTAAAAAGAATATGTCAAGATCTACTCTGAAATACAACACTGTCAGTGATAGGATACTATCCATGTGCCTATAAGGAAGAATAGTTAATAATATGATTATTCAAATTTATGCACCAACCACTAATAACAGAGGTGAGGAAACTGAAGATTTTTTACTAACTTTGGCAGTCTGAAATTTATTACACATGCAATCAAGATGTATTGATAATTACTGGTGATTGAAATGAGAAAGTTGGAAATAAGATTGTCAGGTAGAAAATACAGCTCTGGTGATAGAAACGGTGCTAGGGATCATATAGAATTTTACAAGAATAACTAATCATTGGAAATCTCTTTTATCAGCAACATAAACAACAAATATACAGTTCCATCCTCACTGGATATACCACACAGACATCATCTATAAACTACAACTGTGGAAAGATGATGGAGAAGCTCAGCGTCATCATCCAAAACAAAGGCATGGGGCCAAAGGTGAAGACATCATCAATTGCAGATTCAAGCTAAAGCTGAAGAAAATCCAAACAAGTTGACAGGAGCCAAAATACAACCTTGGGTATATTCCACTTGCATTTACAGACCATCTCAAGAGGAGACTTGACACACTGAGCATTACGAACCCTAGGCAGCTACACTGTGGAATGATACCAAGGCCTCATACATGAGAAACAACATCAAAAAGCAGGTCATTAAAAAGATCATAAAGAAAAGACCAAAACCTGCACCTCCTGGACCAAGGGGCACTCGTTTGGCAGAAACAGGAGCTATTGCATGGTTAAAATCAGGAAATGTATACATCAAGGTTCTAGCCTTTCCCCATACTAATTCACTCTGTATGCCAAGCAAGCACTCAGTGATGCTGGGCTATGAGAAGATACGGCACCAGAGTTGGAGGAAGCTTATTAACAGCCTGACATTTGCAGAGACCATAACTTGCTCACTAAAAGTGACGAGAATGTGATGAATTTACTGATAAAGAATCAAAGATTATAGCCTTCATAATTGATTACATATCTATCTAAAACCATTTTTTATCCATCCATCCAAAATCCTGACAGCTAGACCAATAAACAGCAGCACAATAACTCTGACTTGGACTCACCCTCAACATCCATGGAAGCTGCTGTTCAAAGATCAAACAAATGGCATTGGCAAAACCAAATGCAAAAGATATGTTTAAATAATCAAAAAAGAAAGCTGTCACTTGGAAGATGGAGGTGCATATAACCTAAGCCATGGTATTTTCTATTGCTGTAATATGAATATGAAAGCCAGACAGCGAGTAAGGAAGAATTATGGTGTCGGTGAAGAATACAGAAAATACCATGGATTTCCAGAGAACAAATAAATCAGTCCTGCAAACAAATAAATAGCCACAATGCTCCTTAAAAAGGTAGCCCGGCCGGCAAGACCTTCTCTCCGGCACTCTGAGCCTGTCGTCAGGAAAGACCAGTCCCTGGAGAAGGAAACCGTACATGGTAGAGGGTCAGTGAGAGAGAGAAAGACCCTCAACCAGATGGCGAACAGTGGCTGCAAGAATAAGCTCAAAGATGCCCAGGGGGCGGATGGCCCAGGGCCAAGCAAGGCTCCATTCTGTTGTACACAGGGTTGCTAGGAGGTTGACCTGACTGGTGGCACCTAATGGCTTATTGTTAGTAATCTGTTTACTGAAGTGAAGTCTACAACATGCATTGAGTTCATATTATGTAAAGGACATTGTACTTGGGCTAGGAAATCAAGAACAAAAAAATAAAATAAAATATGGGTGCTCATGTACAGTGGAAGAGAACTACACACAAAAAAAACTCTGACAGGAGACAGATCATAAAGTATATGACAAGGTCCGCCTCTCTCCGCGGGGAGCCCATGATGGAACCCGTGGAGCCGCACCGCGCTCGGGCCCACACCCAGATGAACGACGACCTGCAGTGGCGCCTTGGCCCGGGGCCTGGTCGTGCCAGCTTTCCCCTGCAACCAGTTTGGGCCTCAGCCCGCAAGCACGTCAGACCTGGCGTCTGGTTCGAGCCGCACTTCTGCCTGTTTGAGAAGTGCAAGGTGAATAGCGCCAAGGCACACCCGCTCTTTGCCTTCCTCCGGGAGGCCCTGCCGGCGCCCAGAGACGATGCCACCTCTCATGACCGACCCCAAGCTTATCACCTGGTCGCCCGTGTGCCGCAACGACATCGCTCGGAACTTCGAGCAGTTCCTGGGGGGCCGCGATGGTGTCCAGGCCCTGCTCTCCAAGGGGCCTGGCAGTGCCTGGGGCGCACCCACCGCCTTCCCACAGCTGCCTGCGGTCACTGCGCCGCCTGCCTTCGTGGGGACTTCATTCATCAATGAGGGCGTTTCTTCTAAACCGAATGGAGGAACACCCGACGTCCGGGAAAGCCCCCGCAGGTGGGCACTAGCCCTGCCCGTCCCGACCTCCCCTCCCAGACCAAATAAAATTGTTCCGCGTGTAAGGAAAAAATTAAAATAAAATGAAGTATATTACAGGAGTAGATAAAGTTTAATTATTCAATATTGACTATAACTTCTACTTTTCCCTCATTTAAAAGTCAATTCAATGCTGATTAAGATCTTTGAAGGCCTAGGTCAGAGACAAAGGAAGATTCAATTCTGCTACTTAAAAATCAAAGCCCCAAACTTGGTGTAGTGGGATGTTGAAGGTAGCCATTTGGAAATTATGTATTACAATTGAAGTGGTACTGTTGCTCGGCCCCCCAACCCCCACTGTCCACTGTTGCTCGCCCCCCCCCCCACACACACACACACACTCTTATTTTGGAGATGAACCCATTAGCTTCCCAGAGAACAATGTCTCACGATTTTCCCAATCTTAGAGAACAATTTCCCTATTAGATGTCTTTTGGGAGATAGGAGAAAAAGGCTGACTTGGTAAACTGAAGTCAATTGGAAAAATAAAAATATCCTTCTGACGTGGGTAGGCTAACACCATAAATTCTGTAAGAGTGTTATAGAAGGGTAAGTAAAAAGTATTGTGAAAAAATCCAACATCTTTATTAAACATAAAGATCCAAACGTGAAGCAATTGTGTCTGCCCTATCCTTTATTTATTGAGGTTTATATACTTCTGAGGAGGTGTCTCTCTCCAACCCTTCTGTGAAGAATTTTGTGCTCTTTGATTGAAGCCAGGTCAAAATGATGGTCTGGGCTTTCTCGGGGGACTCAAATCGTATCCCTTTGAAATGTTGTGTTTTGTTTGTTTTTTTTTACTTGGGGAAGAAAGAAGTCTGAAGGATCAGGGCTTTGGGGTGGATAGAGTAAGTTTTCTCAACAAAATTCTCATAAGACAGTCCTTACTACCTTCAAAGAATGATGAAGTGCATTGTTGTGATGGGGAACACTTATTACCAATACAGTTTTCAATTTGCCTAAAACTTTCTTCCAATAAGCCCTGTGTCATCTTGTGTCCTCAGGGAAAATCGATCCAGATGATCCCTTTTGGGATCCTAAAACACTGCCACCCAAACCATCTGAGACGACCCTTCTCCCTTGAGCTTAACTAGCCCAAGAGATGCCCTTGGAAGCTGATGTCTTGATTAGGCCCTGGTGCTGGAGCATATCGATATATCCGGTTATGTTTCATTTAATACAACTGCTTCCATTAGCTTCCATCTTGCTTTAAAAAAAACACACACACACACTGGAAAAATCAGCTCCTTAAGCTAGTTGATCTTGTTGTGTTTTTTTTGTTTGTTTTCACAATGTTTTTTTTTTTTTTAGGTCCATAGTTCAGATCCATAAACTATTCTACCAGAGAAAAATGAGGTTGACTGCTTCCCTAAAGATTTAGTCTGAGAAGCCCTGTACAGGTTCACAATGAGTTGGAATTGACTGGCAATGGATCTTTTTTTAAGGCACCTTCGGGAAAAAAATGGGACTTTCTACCGTAAAGAGTGACAGTCCATGAGACTCACAGGGGAAGTTCTGCCCTGTCCTATGGGCTTGCTATGAGTTGGTATCAACTTGATGGCAGTGTTTGTTTGTTTGTTTGTTTGTTTGTTGAGAATAAGACCAAAACAAGGATAATACTGAGAGAACTTGTTGCAGCTATCCAATGATCCCAGAGATATAGTTAACATGTTCTGTTTGTAATAAGCTTGTGCATGTATGAACTGGAATGACTACCAATACTTTTTTACTTACCTTGGTATTAAACCAACATATTATATCATGATACACATACTATAGAGTACTACTCATATCAAGAAATACTACCTCTATTTCTAAAATCAATGATAGTTATCCTTGTCTCATCACAATGATCAATTATCCATACAAAACGTTCTAATAAGGGTTTATGGAGTTGATGATAAAAGTGTAAGGTCAGACCTCCACAGTTTGGAAAATTGTTGAAGTGAAAGCTAAGATGATGCCAAATAATTTAACCATTTTTAAATTTCAATTTCATCAACTATTGACATAAGGACATGTTGGGTGACTTAGATATAGCATATCAGACAGGATTTTGGTTTTTTCCTAAAGGGAGAAAGAAAAGCAGGAAGAAGTTTAATAGAAGTCCAATCGTTCAGGTGGAATTTGTCCATCACTGAAGGCAGGCAAGCAGATAGGCAGAAGTATCAAAGTTTGTTTTTTTGTTTTGTTTTGTTTTATTTCGAGTGAGAGTGCGACAGTGAGTGTGTGAGACAGTGAGTGAGTGAGTGAGTGAGGCAGTGAGACAGTGAGGCAGTGAGTGAGTGAGTCACTGAGTGAGAGAGTGAGGCAGTGAGTGATTGAGACAGTGAGAGTGAATGAGGCAGTGAGAGAGTGAGACAGTGAGTGAGTGAGAGTGAGTCACTGAGAGACAATGAGTGTGTGAGACAGTGAGAGAGAGGCAGTGAGTGAGTGAGTCAGTGAGTGAGAGTGAGACAGTGAGTGACAGTGAGGCAGTGAGTGACAGTGAGACAGTGAGTGACAGTGAGGCAGTGAGAGAGTGAGGCAGTGAGTGAGTGAGAGTGAGTCAATGAGTGAGGCAGTGAGAGAGTGTGTGTTG